CGATCTTGAAGGTGAGCAGGGGACTCCCAGTGTGAGGCCTGAGACACATGGTGGCCAGGCCTGGATTTTACTGTGCCCCATTTGCTGTGGGAAAGACAGTATGGACCTTCCCTCCACTATGGGAGGTTGGGGCTGCGATGGGGGGCTGTATCTACCAAGGCTCCTTTCAAATGTGACATCAGGGCACAGGGCTTTCCAAACACACACAGGACTTGGAATCTGACAAGCCTGCATTTCAGAACTATCATTTTTAAGCTGTGTGAACTCATGCAATTTTTTAACCACTCTGAGCTGCTTCCTCAGCTGAAAACGGAGGGCAACACCTACTGTAATACCTGCCTCACAGGGTTGAAGACTCTCTGACATGGAGAGAAGGCTCGAGCTATCCTGGTGTGGTGTAGGATACACACTGGACACCAAGGTCAGCGGTTCAAACTCACCAGCCGTTCCTCGGAAACCCTATATAGGGTCACTATGGGTGGGAACCAACTTGATGGCATTTAACAACAATTCTTACAGTCCTTTGACCACCGTCCTCCCTGGTCACTTGCAGCCCCACCCAAGGCTAAGGCAGCTGATAAGAGGCAAACTCTGCCCTTCTGAGGGAGAGTGAGCACAAGGAACGCTCCATCTGGTAGCCCTGATGCTCTTCAATGTTCCCACTGGGGGATTAAAGGTGAGAGGTCAAGGGTGGGTCCAGTCTCAGTGAGTCCCATGGAAGAGAAAGGACATCTGAGGGGCACGTACCGGCCACTGTCTGCTGCTTCAGGAGGCGGGGCTGCTGGCGGGAAGGCAGAAATGTCTGCAGGAACAGAACACAAACGGGAACATGAGGCCACTTCCTCATGCTTCCCAGACGACAGAGTGCCTGAAGTCCAGGGACCTCGGGACAGGGCTGCACACACACCTCTAGGTCCCCTCTGCTAGGACGAGTTGTGTCTTTCTTAAAAGCACAGCATGGCCTAGGCTTCAAGACAGTGGTGTGCAACCTGGCTAGGAATGAGAACCTCCTGAGGCATCTGGCTCCATCCCAGACCAACAGGATTAGAACTTCCCTGGCTGAGGCCTAGACCTGTTCAGCCTGGCTTTGCTCACACAACTCCGTCAGATTCTAGGAACACCAGGTGGGCAAGGCAGTTGAATGTCCCCCTTAACTCAGTTCTCCTGTGGGTAACCTGCCCAGTTGCAGCAAGGGATAAAAAACAGCCTGGGGTTACTGACACCTGGGTCAGAGCCTCCTGGTCTGAAGGGAGGGGCTGGCTCCTTTACCAGAAGGCTTAAGTTAGCAGAGGCCAAAGGCACGTCCCAAAGATGGCTCATTGGCACCACCTGGTGCCTGGCACAGCTGCTGGGAATTTCTAGTCAGAAGCCAAACCTTCTCAACTCTGGGGTTGGGACCCTGTAGTAACACTCATGGGGGAGGAAGAAAATAAACAGTCCACACTTCAGGGGCCCCAGGGCTCAGCAGTAGGAGATGACCCCTGTTTTAGCACTGGGGTTTTAGCACCCCGCCCCCCTTCTAGGATAAAGACCCTTCCTCAGTCACAAGACCTTCCTCCAAGGCTGTCTCTGGAGTTCATCTAACCAGACTTTCCACACACTTTGGGACCTCACAGAGGAAGAACCTAGTGGAGATGGGGACCTTCTTATCAGGGCAATGGATACCATGCCCCCAGCATCTTTCACACAATTTCTGGAGGATCTCAGGCCCAAGAAGGCTCTGCTAAGATGCCCCTCCCTAAGATCCCAGCCCAGCCCATGCATACTCTACCAGGACCACCTACTCAAAGCTGTTCAAATAAGATCAACAGCTTCAAGTAGAGGGCAGGGTAATGGGGTAGGAGAGCAGGAGGCTGGGGGAGAAACAGAATTCCAAGTGGGAAGGCAAAACCTCTCTGAAGCCTTATGTCTTTACTTAAAAATAAAGACTGTATTTTGCATTCTGCTCCAAAATGTGTCTCTGTTATTTTAATGTAAGTGCTGGCTCCCTTCTGCCACCATGTTCTGAAAGAAGACCCCCGTGTTCCCTTGGCTTTTGGAAACTTTCTGCACAGTGTCCTATAACCAGGAAGGGGTGGGGTGGGGGGCATTTCAGTGTGTGAAATCAAAGAGGAAGCTCAGCTACGCACAGGAGCCAGCTCAGCTACGCACAGGAGTCAGCTCAGCTATGCACAGGAGCTAGCTCAGCTATACACAGGAGTCAGCTCAGCTACGCACAGGAGCCAGCTCAGCTATACACAGGAGTCAGCTCAGCTATGCACAGGAGCTAGCTCAGCTACGCACAGGAGCCAGCTCAGCTACGCACAGGAGCCAGCTCAGCTATGCACAGGAGCTAGCTCAGCTACGCACAGGAGCCTTTGCTGGGCAGGTCCCAGGCCCCGGGTATCTGCCAGTCTGCATCTGCCTGGACAAAGCTGTATACAGGGTCCTGCAAAGACTTTCAGATGTGTTCTTGATTCCATGACAAAGCTGGGAGGGGAGAAGACAAAGTCTGGAATAACTGAACACTGTGACTCCATGGAAGGCCTGTTTAGTCCAAGAAAAACACTACTAGCCACAGACTTTATTGTCTGAGACACAGGCCTGCCATATGTTTGAACGAAGGACTTGGAAATTGTCAGTTATTTATATCAATACTCACCACCTTCAGCTCAGGAAATAGTAATCTTGTAGACTGCTTAGGGGAAGGAATAAGGCCAAATGCAATGGCTGGCACATAGTAGTGTGCAAAAAGATTCTTGTGGCAGGGAATCCAAATCAATGAACTGTCTCATTTTTTCCTTGAAACTTTCAGCAATAAGGAGGCATTCCCAAAGATGGCCAGCAGATGGCACTGTGTGGTAAGGCTCAGAAAGGTGAAGCCTGCTGCGGAAATGAGGTGCACTGAGGGTAGCAAACTGGGTAACAGCTTCTCAGTCTTTATGTAGGGGAGGATGTACATACTTGATGGGTGCTCAAAAGGCATCATCAGAAAGTGCCCTCCCCCATTCTGTAAACCTGGTTCTAATCCTACTTCTGCCGTGTTCTGGTTGTGTGGCCTTGGACAAGTCTCCTGTAATCTCAGTGCAACGAATAGGATGGATCCCAAGGTTCCCACCCTGCCCACTTGCACAGCAGGCAGTCAGCCCAAAATAGGTGGGTTTGACATCCAAGCAGCTTCCAGGTGCCCAGAAGGGCTGGACGGAGGAGGTCAGAGTTAGGGGTAGTTAGTGGAACCATGCAAAGGACTCACCTGGGAAGATAAACTGCTGTCTATGATGGATGAAGTAGCCAGCTTTAAACAGAAGAGGAGGTAAGTCACACAGGCAAAACAGCAAACAGTGAGAGAGGGAGACAGGCAGGCACGGGCTCCCCACTTAGGAGAAGGGGGCTGGGTAGGGGCCGAGGCAGGCCCAGGTAGGCCTGGTGAGAACAAGGGTATCCATGCAGGAAGAGGGGAAACAAGCTGGCAGAACATGATGCTGGCAGGCACCTCCGGGGACAAAAGGCTTTCCCTGGGGGACAAGGGACAAGGCCCTGGCCAATTCTAGTCACCTCCCAGGCCCTCTTATCCTGTGAACCCAGGAAGGCAAAATACAAGGGTGGACGGAGTAACTGAAGAGCTGGACAGCTATGTGCTGACCTGCCCTCTGCACCACCCAGAAGGAGGGGGGCTTCAGCAGTTCAAGCTCTCCATCAGAAAAAAGGGAGAGAGAACGACCCCTCTGCCTTAGGGGCCTGCAGACGGGGTGCTGGTGCTTTTGAATCTGACCCAGTTCTAATAGTAGCTCTGGGGTCTTGGACAATTATCTAACTTCTCCCAGCTCAGCCTCACTATCAAAGTGGGTCTACAATGCCCACCCTTTCATGGGTTTATAAGCAGAAATGGAGTGCTGGTGTGGCGCTGTGGGTTAATGAGCCAGACTGCAAAGCCATTTGAACTGAAAGGTCGGCAGTTCAAGCTCACCAGCTGCTCCTCGGAAACCCTATACAGGGTCGCTATGGGTCGGAACCGACTCGACAGCACTTAACAACAACAACATAAGCAGAAATGTACCTATACCATCTGTGGGACTAGACCATACAGAAGAGATGAACAATGGAAAGAATTCCTGCCCAAGATCACCCAGCCTCCAGAAGAGCTGTGGGTTCAGCCCTGCAGTCCTTTCTGATGGGAGAGTGAGTGGTCTATGCAAGGGACAATCAGGGAGAGCTGGTGGCAAGAAGGACTCTTTCTGTGGCCGTTTTAAAACAGGACCTTCCTTTTGTTGTTGTTAAGTACTGTGGAGTCAGTTCTGACTCATAGTGACCCTACACAGGGTTTCCAAGACTTTATGGGAACAGAAAGCCTCATCTTTCTCCCGTGGAACAGCTGGTAGTTTCAAACTGCCGACCTTAAGGTTAGCAGCCCAATTGATAACCACTATACTACCAGAGGTCCTTGGACCTTCCTTTTAGAAGGCCCAAATTAAGGAGGTTTCACAAAAGCTTCATAATAGAGAGCAGAGCTTCCAAGGAGGTTAATCAAATGGGCCATTGCTGGTGGGGTGGGAGAGGGTGTGTTAATGTCCGAGAGAGAGAGCCAGCCACGTACACCCTCAGGCAAAGAGAAAAGAGAGGCCGATGGTTTATCTAGATTCCTCACCAGGCCCGCAAAGTCCCCGGAGCCCTAGTGAGGTGGGCCCAGAAATGCCACCAGGCTCCCGCTGGCTGCATGTTCACCGCCACCCCCCCACCCCCACCCCTGGGTGGGTAGGGGACAGCACAGGAAGAACCAACTGTTGTCCTGGGCCTGGAGCTGCCGGTGAGGGTGGGAGATCCTGGGCCACCAGGGGAGTAGGAGGAGTCAGAGGCAGATTGGCCTCCAGGTCCCGGGCGCCCCACCAGGCACGCCAGTGTGGGCCTCAATGTCTTGACGTACACAATGCTACGACCCCACAGCATACAGTGTCCTCATTTTAGGGAAAAGGGGTAGCTTGCCTAGGTCACAGGCCTGAGATGCTCTTTCCAGGGCCTGTCCCAGCTCCACGTGCTGCCAGCCATGCCCCCGGGGACTCAGGCCCAGGCCTGAGTTAGTGGAACATGTCTGGGAGAAGCCATTCCACCCACAGGGGGTGCATGGGGAATACATCAAGACCCCAGGAATAGAACCAGTAAGTGCTGCTTACTGGCTGTATGGCTCTAGGCAGCCAGTCTCTCTCAGAACCTCAGTGTCTCCACCTGTAAAATGGGCATATTAGCAGCAGCGTTCTCAAGCTGCTATGGAATTTAAACAGGAATGTACTTCAGCTGTTTGGCACAGGATCTGGCTCACAGCAGGTGTTTCATACACGCTGGTTCTTAGTGGGGGTGGTGCTGGGGTCTGCTGAGAAGGGCATCTAACTGCATCCCTGAGGGCCTGGAGAAGTCCGAGGTGCAGTACCTGGGAAGTTGAACCTGCTGTCCCGCTGGCCAGGTGAGGGGTTGGGGGGTGTGGTGGCACTGGATGGGTTGGAGGACGTTGGGAAGAGCGCCGGCGAGGAGGGCGTGGAGGACGTGGTGGAGGATGGGTTGCTGCTGGAATCCAGGTGATTCATGGCTGCAGGGTGCTCCTACAGGGCCAGAGATGCCCAAAAGTGGGCATGGACTATCACTGCCCTGCCCTGCTGCCTCCTCTTCTCCACCCCCACCTCCACCCCAACACACACACACACACCCACACACCCTGCCAACCTGGAGACCTCAGGCCGGGAGATCCTTAGGGTCCTGCCCTTCAGCTTCAGTGTATTTTTGGTCTAATACTTGAGAACACAGTTGACTGCTAGCTCACAGGCCAGATGCTTTACTCTATCTAAAGGTATCTGGGATGAAAGTCCTGGTGATCTACCTCCAAAAAATCAGTCATCGGAAACTCTCTGGAGCACAGACAGTTTTACTCTGACATACCTGGAGGGACCATGAGTCAGAGCTGGCAAGGTGGCAACTGGATTTTTTTTTCACTATTTGAGGGAGAGATGATGGCTCCCTCAACACACAGACACCTTAGAGAATTCCTGCTCATCTTTTCTGTCTCAGTTCTAACACCCTTTCCTCCTGGAAGACGGGACCATGCCTCTCCTTTTTGTCCTCCCATAGCTCCCAGAACCTCTTAGTCAAAGCCTGCGCCAGTCTGTAAACTGCAGGCAGTCCAGTCCTTGGGAGGCTTTCTGATTCACGCCTGCTCTGTGAGGGTGGGGATAACTGATGCTCGTTACTGCACCCCAGCATCTGGCTCCAAGCTGAGTACACAGCAGCTGCTAACAAATGTTCATTCAGTGTCTGCCATGTGCCAGGCACCGTGCCGGACACAGAGACACAAGACGAGGAGCTGGCCCTTGCCTTTGTCGACCTTATTGTCCTACAAGCACTGGGGACGCTAAGAGTCCACTTGGGACTGCAAAACCCTGAAAGAATGCACAGCGCGGGCTGATGCTGTCATCACCTCAGATGTGCTGGATCCTATCACCTTTCCACCCAGATGGGAAGATACTATCAGAGGAAAAACACGGTGCTGACAGATAGAGACAGGTGAGGATGCATGAGGTTGGGGCCTGTGGAAATGGCTGTCAGGTGGGCCAGGGCGCCTCCCTCACGTGAGAATAAGCCTCCCTGTGGCTGCATCTCGGGGGGGAGGGAGGGTGGCGCTTCTCCATTCCTGATTTACTGGCCACATGACCTGTCTGCCCGCCTACCTGTTCTCTCTTCTTTCCACCTGCACCCCCACCAAGGCCACCATGTCACGTGAGTCCCAGTGAAAGGCAGGCACCTGCTCAACCACAACCCTGGTCTGAGGCTGGGACACCAGACATGTACAAAAGTACACAGCCACTCCAGTCTTTGGAGAAGTCAGCCATGTGGGAGGGTGGCCCCTGGCTGTGTGGGCACCAGTACATAGGTCACTGGCAGAAGCTACCAGCTTGAGCTTCATGATTACAGCACACACTAAACCAGTGCATAGGATCCTTGGTGAGAATCTGTTTAGCTGCCAGAGACATCTATCTGCACGAGCAGAGGAGAGGGGCACCAGGCTACGGAAAGACTTGCACAAGGTTTTGGGGAGCACCGTGGGGATGTTCTAATTGTACAATTTAAGGTATATCTTCCACACTGTGATGGTGAGTCCAATTTATGGAGCCAGTTACTCTGAGCCTGCCAAGCACTTACCCTGTGCTCAGTTTCCTCATCTGTAAAATGGAGCTAATACCAAGATGTGAGGGTCAAGCTGGAAACCACGTGTTAAGAGTTCCTGACACACACTGAAAGCTCAGGAAATATTAGCTCAGATGAGGAGGAAGGGGTGGGGGAGAGTCAGGGCCACCGAACGACAATGTGGATACAAATGTGAAATCTGCTAAATTGCTAAAGCTAGGGTTCCCAGAGGCCACCACCTGGCTGCAAATCCTAGATCACGACGTCATCCTTCCTATGGAAGGGAGTCCAGGTGGGGTGTCTCCCCAGCAGGGATGTGGCCATGCGTACCTTCTTCGTTAGTGCTTTGGGGAGGGTTCCAAAATGAGGCTCAGCTGCTCTGTCCCCTGGGTTGTTGATGTCTGAAGGAACAGATTCTGTCCTCCGGAGTCTAGGTACTGTTTAAAAAGGAGGGCAACCATCAGCAAGGAAGATTTACCCTGAATTCAAAAGGCAGAGGAAAAGGAAGGGCAAAAAACTCACACGGTAGGAAGGATATTCGGCAGGCTTGGGCTTCTTTTGTACATTTGTTGTGACACTTCAACCTGGCAAAGGAGACAAGATTAGTACCCACAGGTTCCCAGGCACCCACAGTGCAAAGCAGCTCCATTCACATTCACCCAGTCGGCTCAGCACCCACAATTCTCAACCCACGTTGGCTCAAAAGTATACACCATCCCTGCTATACTAGCAACAGCAGCCACGATTTGCCGCTAGCAACATGAGGAATGGTGGACTCTTCTGAGCATTGATCATGTTCCCACTTGTTTACCCATCAACAGCCATCCTCACAACCAAACAGGCATTTGTATGTCCATCTTAACCAGTCCCAGCTCACACATCCATTTATTTCTCTTTTCTCTAGAAAATGAAGCCTTCCACCCACACTCAGAAAGCTCGAGGCGAATCTGAGCTTACAATAAGGATGAATGAGAGAAGGCAACTGAATTACCACAAAAGGATCCAAAGGGTTTCTTTAAGTAGGGGGTCCCTCCCAGTAAACTCAAGCAGGGGGCCATGTGGTCAAAGGGGTCAGCACTGAAGCTGAGATTGAATGATCTGGGTTTTTGTTTTGGTCCTGACTGTTGATCTGAGTCTCAGTGTTCACATCCATAAAATGTGCTGACAGTCAGTACCCATCAATCTCAAAAGGCATGTATGGTACGACCGTGCACAGAATAGGGCTATTCACAGGCTCTCCACAGGAAAGGCATTACTTGAACAAAGGCTGGAGGTCCCCAGTTTAAAGCCACCTCACCAGACACTACAGCAGCCCTAGGCCAGAGAGAAAGTACCAGAACTTCCTTGGTGGTCAAGGGGGTAAAGAGCTGGACAGCACAGATCCAGCTAACAGGCACAGTGTAAGAAGACAAGACCAAGCACCCAAGGTCCAGTCAGAGCCCAAATGTTTTCGCACACACACTAGTTCAGATTCTTGGCGAGACCTGATGGGCCAAGAGGTCTGGAATCATCTTCCCACATGTGTAAATGAAAAAAAATAAGGCCCAGAATGGGTAAACACGTTGCCTCAGGTCACACAGCAATGCAGGGCAAAGAGGGTAGTGACTACAAAGGTTTTCCCAGTCTCTGCTTAGTCCATGCTACCCCTTTTTCCTACTGGAAACCACAATGGTATGAGAAAAGAATGTTGAGTTCACACAGTGTCTATAGTCTTCCCTTCTTTAGACACTAGGAACCATCACTCTGATCCCACCATTGCCTGTTCCCATTCCCCACCGTTTATGGCCTAAAATGAAAAACGAAACTTCAGAACTCCTTAAAGTCCCAGAACTGTCCTCACATTTCTCCTCGTCTTTATATAAGAAGCTCCCTTGGATTGAAATTCTGTTTCCCCTTGATCTACCTTGAAAACTTCTATTCATCCTTCAAAGCCCACTTCAAATATTCCCTTCTTGTGGGAGTGTCTCCCTTGGTGCTTCCTTAATCTTCCCAGATAGAGCTGATATGATTATGAAGGAAACATGACTTGACCTACAGCTAAGAATAAATAACAGGACTGACCCAAAAGCCTCATGGATGCTCCCGCCCCTGGTTTTCCCATCCCCACCCTTACCCACACCCTCCCACCTCCCATCACCTGCAGTGCTTGCACTTCACTCCAAACATCATGCTCTTCTGGCAGACGTGGCAGACCTGGGACAGCCAGGACTTGGTGGAGAACCTGTGGGGAGTGGACGCGCACATGCTTACACAGAATGGTCAACCATTCACGATCAAAAGGGCAACATTTACCTAAGGACAAAGTTGAGAAGGGTGAGAAGGTGGAATGGAAATAGGAGCCACATGGAGGAAGTGGGATACCTTTTGTTATATGGAGGGGACTGCAATCATTGAGATGAAACAAAGTGTGTGATTTGTTGACTGTAAAATTGATGATCTTGTCTTGTAAACCTTCACTCAATTCACAACAAAAGGTTTCAAAAAAGATTACAGCCAAGAAAATTAAATAAAATAAATTGCCATTAAATTAAAAAAAAGTATACATATATGTATATATGATTTGTTGTTGTTTTGTGCCGTGGAGTCGGTTCCGACTCATAGAGACCCTGTACAGGGTTTCCGATGCTGCAAATCTTTCCGGGATCAGAAAGCCTCATCTTTCTCCCGTGGAACAGCTGGTAGTTTCGAACTGCTAACCTTGAGGTTAGCAGCCTGATTGGTAACCACTACGCTACCAGAGTGCCTATATATATATATATATATATATATATATTTATATATATATATATAATGGGCTGTCAAAAGAACCAATAGATC